GTCTCCAAAAAAAGGAGAACTATTCCCAGCTCTGGAGCCTGGAGGCATGCCTACCGTAGCAGAAAGCGGTCATAAGGTTGCCTGTAGGCAAACCCGGCTCTTCGGACACGGACGTTCTCCAGCAGACCCAAGTAGGAGACTTGATGGCGGCAGCGCTCCACGTCGAAGAACAAGGGGGACTTCTGGTCATTTGGTTTGATGCAACGGACGTAGTAGGGCTCCTGTCGGGAAAAAGGAGGAGGAGAGAGAAGGCCAAGACAGGTTAGCCCTGGGTTAGAGAAGTTCCCCTCTCAGGGCTGACCTTGTTCTTGGATACAGGATCATATGCCATGGACCCTTGGTATCCGCTGGGGTTTGGTCCCAGGATCCCCTGTGGATAACAAAATCCATGGATACTCAAATCCCATTAAATACAATGGCTTGGTCCCTTATATAAAATGGAAAAAATTAAAGTTTGTTTTTTGGAATTTATACATTTAAAAAATATTTTCAAACCGTGGATGAGTGAATCTGTGGATAAAAAAAAAATCTGTGGATTTGGAGGGCTGACTTAACTCCTTGTTGAACAACTTCACTGGCTACCAATACATTTCCGAATACGATTCAAAGCGCTGATGATGACCTATGCAGCCCTTCCTTCTCATTGACTTAGGGACACAGAATAAGGAAATTTTAATCTAGCCCACTTGGTTATATTTAATTTGATTTAAATGTCCCTAGTCAGAAGGCTGGGTACAGTGCAGAGCAGAGTAGAGGTGAGGTCTGGCACTAGAAGGACTGGAAGGAAAGGGAGAAGCTACAGTAGCTAAATTAATCTGTAGACTTCCTCTGGAGTCTTTTTAAGTTGTAGTAATGAACCAATTAAACCTTACAAATTGTAACGAACTGGTATTCTGGCTGAGCTGCAGATTTACACACAGCCTTTTCTTCTTGCCTGGAGCTGGGCTGCCCAAAACTGCAGAATATACACCTTCATCTCCAGAAAAACTGGAGAGGCAGGGCCAGGCACTGAGATCTGGCAACCCTACCCAATAATAATAATAATAATAATAATAATAAATTAATTATTAATACCCACCACCCATTTTATTTTCCTACTGCACAAGATGGGCTCAGCAGCTTCACATTGGAAGAACGGCTGCATCCCGCTTGATGGCAGGGCTGGTCCTACCCCTTTCCATTCGCCCTCACCATTTCTCTCATCATTCCTGCCTTACCCCGTAACTACGTAATAAGAACAAGATGGTGTAGTGATTTGAATATTGGACTACATCTCAAGAGACCAGGATTTGATTCCCAGCTGAGCCATGAAACCCACTGGGTGTCCTTGGGCAAGACACATGCTCTCAGCCTCAGGGAAAGGCCACGGCAAACCGCCTCTGAAGAAATCTTGCCAAGGAAACCCTAACCGCCTTAGGGTTGCCATAAGTTGGAAACAACTTGAAAGCACACAACAACATAAGGAGCTGGATTGGAGGATTCTGGGCCTTTTAGTCCAAAAAAAAAAAAGCATCTCCCTCAGCTGTGTTCCTGGCCTAAGCCAGATCTAGACAGGAGTGGTATTTGGATGAAAACCAAGTGATGGGGGAAATGGGACAGAGCAGCACGGAGAGGATGGGTGAAGAAGGAACTGCAAGACCCAGATGTAATCAATAATCACAAAATATGTTCGTTTTTAGAGCACCATCTGGACTCTTGCCTTCTGGCTGCTCTGCTTTCCACAGGCATCTAAATTTAGATGCCTCAGTTCCTTCTGGGACCAGGAACCCAACAAGAGCAATGGGAGCCAACATCAATTCTTTCTGGGCATTGGTCCTTGCTACCATTATGAGGACAGATGAGGTCCTCCAGGGACCGACTTTTGGCACGGGCCATTCGAGATCCGCCGGTCACGGCATGAGGGCAGACAGTGCAACTGCGGAGGGGCAGAAGTTTGAGGCAGGGTAGTCCAAATGTAGGACAGAGAGTGTTTGAAAAAGTTAGTTAGTTAATTAGTTAGTTAATTAATTAATTAATCAATGCATGCTGTACAAGGGGAAAGGCAGAATACTCACTCACTCACTCTTTCTCAGAGGATGTACTTTATTGAATTGCTAATGAGGGTGACCGGATGGATGTCCAGTAAATTGTAGGACATTCTAGAAAAATGGAGGAAAAAAGCTAAAAACATTCCTATAAATGTAAATTCATTCATGCTTCTTAGTCATGCTCCAAATGGAGGCCCTTTTGGAATTCCTCCTGGACAGGAGGCTTAAATGTAGGACGTGTCCCTGGAAAGGAGAGCACTTGGTCACCCAGTGCTAATGGAATTCAAAGTTTATCTCCTGGACTTTGGAATGCTTTGTCTCCCAATCCCACATGGCCAGAAGGAGGAGAGACCTGCTTCCATAGATCTCTCTCCACACTATTTCAATGCAGAACAACACACCAATAACACCTTAAAATGCAGCTCTGTGGCTAACATCAACATTTTTAAAAAGAAAATCTCCTGTATGATTTTTAACATGATGAAGAAGCCAGTGGAGCATCGAAAGCTTGCAACAAGTATTTTGTGCATTTTGGTTGGCCCCATAAAGGTATCACCATCTTGTGCATTTTGGGGAGACACTGTACTTTACTATATGGCCGACACGGCTATCCGTGAAAGCGTCATACCATGTCATGAGCCTTTGGATGCTCTAGAACCCTTCTCCAAATGCCCTCTTGATGCAATTGCCACATAATTGGGACTTTTGTTGTTGTGTGCCTTTGAGTCATATCTGACTTGTGCCAACCCTAATGCCACAGAGTTTTCTTGACATGATTTCTTCAGAGGGGGATTGCTTTTGCATGCCTTTAAGGCTGAGAGTGTATGCTTC